GCGCCCCCCGGCCGGGCTGTCCTTCTACCCCTACAAGGTTTGGGCCGCGGTGGGGGAGGGTCCTGGTCGCCAGCTCCGCCCGATTCCTCCCAGCCTTTTAGGCGTCTGCGCGCCCGGGACCTTCCAGTGCCGCCAGGTCCTCCTCACACAGCACCGGTGCTCCAGACCTCGCAGCTAGCCCAGTCCTCCCGCTCCTCACCTCCCTCGGGCCGGACCACCCCTCACCGCAATCATGGACGCCATCAAGAAGAAGATGCAGATGCTGAAGCTGGACAAGGAGAATGCCATCGACCGCGCCGAGCAGGCCGAAGCTGACAAAAAGCAAGCTGAGGATCGCTGCAAGCAGGTGGGGCTCCAGAGCCCAGTGCCAGCACCCCTCCCTTCCTCCAAGGTGGGGTGGGCACGTCCAGTGGGCCCCCCAACTTTGTACTTGCTCTCTGAGGCTCTTTGCCACCCAGTGTGGGAGCTGTGCTTTCACCAGACCCTCAGGGGCCTAGCAGGACCCACACTTCATCTCAGCCACCATAGCCTGGAGAGTCTAGGTTCCCCGGTTTCCATTCCTGCCCTTGCAGAGCAATGCTGGGTCCTGGCTCTGGGGTCTTGACGTTCACTCTCTGTCTTGATCACTCCCTTCAACACCGTTGACTGGACTGTGCTTCCCCTTCTGTCTCCCTCAGCTGGAGGAAGAGCAGCAGGGCCTCCAGAAAAAGCTGAAGGGGACTGAGGACGAAGTGGAAAAGTATTCTGAAGCAGTGAAGGATGCCCAGGAGAAACTGGAGCAAGCCGAAAAGAAGGCCACCGACGTGAGTGTGGACTTGGGGGAGTTGGGAGGTGTTCGTGCACTGGGAAGGGACCGTAGGCCCCAGGACAATGAAGGGATAAGGGGACCTAGGTCTCCCAGCACCAGGACAGAAATGGTTTTCTCTCCTTAACCCTGGCTAGGGTTGGTTTACACAAATAAGCCTAGACTGTGGGTAAATCAAAACCACCTACCACTTCCCCTCAGGACTTAGCCTAGTAATTCCATTTGGTTCCAGCTCTTAGAATGTAGTGATCAAGCAGTGAGTCATTGGGGTGGGGAGGGGGATGAGAACTTGCCATCTACCTCAATTAACCCTCCTTCAAAAATGGAGAGGAGACTGCAGCTACATTTAGGGAGTTGACTGGGTGGGGTGTGTGAGTGTGAGATGCTAGAGGAGAGGAGAAAAGAGATGGATCCAAAGATGGGGACCCTGACTTGAATTCTAATGGCCCTAAGGGGCTATTAGAAATTCCCTGGCTTTGACCTCTGGCTTCAGCAGCCCTGCTATGCCCTGTGGCCCCAGCTCAGGTTCTCCCTGCTCCTCATTTACCCTCATTAAACTGTCAGCCTTCAGGCCACAGGGCAGAGGGACAGGGCCACAAATGCCAAAGTAGCTACCTTGGCAGGATCTGCTTACTCTCAGATTTCTCTCCTCACCCCACAACCCCAACCAGACTTCTCTATTTTTTGCCATTCCCAGCCCCCACTTTATAGTAGGAGACTGGCCTTATGACTCTGGACATGGTGCTTTCACTACTCTCTACCTCCCGCCCAGGATTGTTTCAAATTTAAGATGGTCCTATGGTTAGAGTGTATGTGAGGATTCACCTAAAGCAAGGTCTGAACGTCAGAGATGGCATTCCTGTTCATGTTGACCATTCTCTAGATTCCTCAACTCCTGAGAGTTGGGCTTCTTTGACCTCCAGCCTCAGATTTTGGTTCTGCACCAGCCCTGGCACTTGGGAGGGAACTGACGTGCAGCTGCTAGCAAAGACGACCCTGGGCATCTGACATTCTATAAATAACTAAGGCCCAGTGCAGCTGGAGGCAGGACTGGAAACCCAAGGAGCTGGGTGGGGGCCGGGGAGCTGGGACAGAGCTGAGGAAGCAGGATAGCAGTGCCAGGAGTAGACAGGAAATGCTGCCTAAACTTATTGTATGACCTTGAACACAGTTAACTTACCTCAGTTTCTCCTTCTCTCTTGCTTCACCTTTGTCCAGTATGTATAGTAGTGCTTTTTTGTGGTTAGAGAGCAGCCAGCATTCATAGCTTCAAAGAGCTTAAAGAACAGGAAATGATAAATACCAGTCCCGTGACGAGGACCCCAGGATTTCCCAAACTTTGTAGTTACTTGTCTGTATGGCCATCATAAAGAGAGTTTTCCTTTTATGGAGTCTCATCTCTCTAAAGTAGCCCTCCAGTGTCTCCCAGAGTTGCTTTTTTCAAAACCAGTGCTGTCTCAGAATCTTTCCACACTGAGTCATTGGCCTCTGTGCCCATGATGGGCTCTTGCCATTCTAGGTGGCCAAGCTCCAGGTGCCTGCAGCACCTGGAGGACAAGCTATGATCCACTTTCTATATATGGGACTGTGTTTCTCCTGCCCTGCAGTGTCACCCAGATTCTGTCTTCTCTTCCTACTGCCCCAGTGCTGACACTTAGTTCCTCTTCTCCACTCACTCTTTCCTCTTCACTGGTCCTTTTTCTTTCCAGTCTTAAATCTCTGTGGAGATCTCTGTCTTTGTCTTTGAAGGAGAGTCAGGGATTATCTAACATTTATCAAGTGGACTTTGTGCACAAGTATTGCCTGCATAATATTTTGCTATTTTCCAAACTTGGCATCAGAATTGTTCTGGAGATTTGAAAAAAAAGATAATTCCCAAGTCCTTACACTGGAGATCACTGGCGATCTCACTGCAGATCTCATTCTCTAGCATGGAGCTAGAGAATCTGTTCAGTTTTATGAGCCTTCAAGATGGCCCTGCTGATTGAGTATTAGAAGCTTTGCATTATCAGCTGCCCAACCTGTTGAGTTATGATTATTAACTCATATTTATGAAGGCGGAAACTGAAGCTTAAGGAGCCTCATTTGCCAAGATCACACAAGTGTTGAGTGGCTAAGCCTCGGCTCAAGACAAGTCTGACTCAGAGCTTATACTCTTAACACCAAACCAAATCTCTGCTCTCATTTTCCTTTAGGAGGCCCTATTTTGTTCTTTTCCTTTGTGCGAGGCCTATTTTGTCTTTCTCCATATCCTCAGTGTTTATGGACCCTCTTCAAAACCACCAAGGTGGTGCTGGGGATTTAGCTCAGTGGTTCGGTGGCCTGCCTTGCAAGCGCAAGGACCGTAGTTCAATCCCCAGTACCAAAAAACAAAAAACTTTCAAGGTTTTTCTTCCATATCGCAAGACAAGGAGCTGAGTACCCATCACTTGCTAACTGTCTCTGGACATTGGCAGGGAGCCCCTTGCTGCAGCCTATTCTCTAGTGGTGGTTGAACCAATGGCACTTGTGCTGCAGTGGGCACACAGAGCCCTCTGTCGGCATGCAAGCCAACTGTATGAGTTGTTTTCCTATACTAAAACCTCAGTATTCAGGTTTAATTGCAGTGATGGCACTTTGCGATAATTAAGTGTTTTGGGTCGCAGTGTGGGCCCTCTCTCTAAAAGGCTTGCCATCACTCACTAACCTGTCCTGTCTCCTGTGAGTTTGGCTTGCCTTTTGGGTGCCTTGCTTGGAGTCTGCCTGGCAGCTAGTGACATCACTTAGCTTGATGCTGTGATTGGCTGTTTTTAACAACACAAATCTGGTTGGTCTGATTGTTCTCCCCGAACTTTACCTGGAACAGGCTCTTCTATGGAGAATCAGGGCTGCATGAGACCTGTTCTCAGAATTTGTAATGCTCCCAAAGGGGACAGAGGGGTAGCTATTGGGATACTAACCATGAATAGCTCCAGAAGAGGCCACTCAACAGGGAATCGGAGCTTGTGAAGAAATGCAGGTGTTTGGAGCACAGACTCTAAGCAGAAGATAGTTGAGAGAAAAAACAGATTAAATATTGAAAAGCCAGGACACCTAGGTTCTTATTTAGAAGAATCTAAGCCATTCTCTGAAACCCCCTTTCCTCAACCAAGCCCAACAAAGCCTTTTTGACCTCTGACCTCTAACCCACAGGCTGAGGCAGATGTGGCCTCCCTGAACCGGCGCATTCAGCTGGTAGAGGAAGAGCTGGACCGGGCACAGGAACGCCTCGCTACTGCCCTGCAAAAGCTGGAGGAGGCTGAGAAGGCAGCTGATGAGAGCGAGAGGTGGGCAGGGCCCTGGGAAAGGAAGGGTCGGGAGTGGGAAGGGAACCTGTCTCTGGTGGTGCTGACCTCATCATACTCATCCCTCTCCCTCCCTCACAGAGGAATGAAGGTCATTGAGAACAGGGCCATGAAGGATGAGGAAAAGATGGAGCTGCAGGAGATGCAGTTGAAGGAGGCCAAGCACATTGCTGAGGACTCAGACCGCAAATATGAGGAGGTGACTACCCTATCCCACTTCCGTCCCGCTCCCAAGTCTCACATCCTCAGTCACCACTGATCGCCTCTCTCCCATTTCCCCCCAGGTGGCCAGGAAGCTAGTGATCCTAGAAGGAGAGCTGGAGCGCTCAGAAGAGAGAGCTGAGGTGGCTGAGAGGTAAGGACACCGTGGTGTGGCCAGTGAAATTCAGCCAGCGGCTGGAGGTGCCTTATATGGTGGGCAGGCAGTTTCCAAGGCCTGGGCCTACAGGGACAGATCCTGTCATCTGACCTCTGCCCACTGCCCCCAGCCGAGCCAGGCAGCTGGAGGAGGAACTTCGAACCATGGACCAGGCCCTCAAGTCCCTGATGGCCTCGGAGGAGGAGGTAGTAACCTCTCTGGACCTTTCTGGGCAATGGCGCCTTCTCTCAGCCCACCTTCTCCTCAATTTCAGCATCTCAGGCTGCTCTCTGTCACCTGCCAGGGGTTGGGAAGGGCCTGGGGCTTTTGAACTTCGCCTGCTATCACTCTTATCACTTTGCTCTTCTTTTCTCTCCTCCACCCCTCCCCCACTGTGCCATCCCCACTGTCTCTCCTCACTGTGTCCTCACACCCCCACCCTGCCACACACCCCTGCAGTAAATGTGGGGACCTAGAGGAGGAGCTGAAAATTGTTACCAACAACTTGAAATCCCTGGAGGCCCAAGCAGACAAGGTAGAGGGGGTGGAAGGGCAGTGAGGACGGGATCCTGCAAGGGCGGGAGGTGCGGGCCAGGCAGGGAGGGCTGGGTTCTCTCTCCAGGGAGGCAAGATCAGGAGGGGCTCAAGGGGCTCAGTGGAGAAACGAAGGAGTCAAGCAGGTGATTTACTGATGGTGTATGTATGTTCCTAAAAGTATTCCACCAAAGAGGACAAGTACGAAGAGGAGATCAAACTGCTAGAGGAGAAGCTGAAGGAGGTAAGAGTTCTCTTCCAGTTCCCACTCTCCCCTTAAGCCACCCTTGCCCCTACCTGACTGTCTGTGGGCAGGGAATTGGGGAATAGGGATGGAAGGGAAGGTGACTTCAATGAGGTTCTCTGGGAAGGCCTAATTTCTTGTTACATCCCCCATCTCACTTTTATTCCCAGGCTGAGACCCGCGCAGAGTTTGCCGAAAGATCTGTGGCAAAGTTGGAGAAAACCATCGATGACCTAGAAGGTAAAAAGATACCCCTCCGCCCCCTGTCACAATCAGCCTGTCCCGCATCTTCACATCCCATGGTATTTGCCACTGATAGAGTCGGAGCACCTAGGATTCCACAAACTCTGGGGGGCTGTTCCCACAATGCAAGGAGTTGGTATGGGCCACTTTATATCAGCTCCACTCAGACCTCAGCACACAGGAGAATTACCTGGAGAATTATTTTGTTTTGTTTTGTTATTGGTTTGTTTTCCAGTACCTGGGATCAATCTCAGGACCTTACACTTTCGAGGCAGGCACGGCACCACTAAGCTAAATCCCTGGCCCACCTGGAGAGTTTTAAGAACAGATTCCTGGGGCCAGAGGTATAGCTCATTGGTAGAGCACATGAGGCCCTGGGTTAAAAAATAAAGTCCTGGGCCAGGGATTTGGCCTAGTGGTTCCACTGCCTGCCTCACAAGCGTCAGGGCCCAAGTTTGATCCCAGGTACCAATAAAATAAAATAAAGTACAACTTCCCGGGCTCTACCCCAACATGATTACTGACTTGGGGCTACTGAATTTGTATTTCTACCCAGCCCCCTGGTAATGCTGATGATGCTGGCCTTTAGTACTTTATGTAGAACTGACCTAATGAATGCTGTCTCTAAGTGCAACACAACAGAATCATCACAGATGATTTGTACTGGGGATCAAACTCGGGACCTCGCGCTTTCGAGGGAGGCGGTGGAACTGCTAAATCCCTGGTCCAGAAACTTCTTTATTGAATAGAGAGTTATTCCATTTAATGTCTGGGATTGTGTGACAACATTTATGGAAAATACTTTAAACTACATTTTAGAAACAAATATCCAAATATTTGCTCATCTATGGTTATTTGGGTTATCAACAATGTTGTTGTACTTAAGGTCACCTTTCCTCTTCACTCTGATAACCCTTTAACTCTTATAATTCCCACATCTCTGGCCTTCTTGGACAAGTATGAATTTATCTCCAACTTCAGGACTTTAGACCTTTCTGGTCAAGTGCCCCCCCTCCTGCACCAACTTAACCAAGCACACCTGCCTGTCAGAGCACTGTACCCGCAGGATTCTGGGAGAAGCAGACAGTCTGAGGGGGAAAAAAAGTTGGGGTACAGAGAAAAACAAAAGAGACAGGGGTAAAGAAAGGGAAGAAGGGAGTCAGCTGTCTGGCCTGTTCTCTGACCTCTCTCACTCTGTCCACCTCACTCTGATTCTTTTTCTCTTTTCCCATCACCCTCTCCTTCTCCTCTTCCCCTTCATTCTCTCTCACCTGGCTTCCTCCCTTGGCCACTCCAGATGAAGTCTATGCACAGAAGATGAAATACAAGGCCATCAGTGAAGAGCTCGACAACGCACTCAATGACATCACCTCCCTCTGAGCCCACACCAGTGTGGCCACCTCTCATCTCTTCTCCTCTTTCCAGTCTCTCTATGGGAAAGGGGCAGGCAGGAGGAGCGAGAACTGGCAGCATTAGAGGGAGAGCCTCCATCACTCCCGCCTCCCACTCTGGCACTGGCTTCATCTTTCTCTCTTCCCACTGCCCCTTCCACCTGCTGCCCTCCATCCCTCTCTGCTGCTTAATAAACTCTGAACTTGGTCTCCATGCTGTTTTCCTGCCCTCCAGAGAACACTTCATCACTGCCACAGAGCACTGGTTTACCCGAGACCTTGGCTCTTTCTGACGTCCCCCACCTTGTGACACTCACCCCCCTGCACTGAGCCATCCCACAACACACTGGCCCACACGAGACCACTCTGCATGGCACTGCCAGTCTGTGGCTGTCTGACTTGCTGCTGCATGTGGGCATGTGAGACCCTGTCAAGCACTGTCACCCCTCTGGTGCCTGTCACTGACCTTGGAGCACCTAGCTGGGGAGCTGGTATGTAACAGAATGACTGGAAGGGAAATAGGATGGTGAAGCACAAGGGAGGGGTAAGAATGTTGTAAAGGTCTGGAAGGAAGTTCAGAAAAGTGTTGGATAACAGCAACAGGGGCTTTCACTGCAGCTACAGGTCTGTTTTCTGCCTCCGTTCTGTCTGACCTTGCCTTTCCTGGCTCAGACTTCTTCTTTCAGTTTCCAACTTTCCTAAACCTTCTAAAGAAGGAGGGTAAATTACTTTATGGCCTAGGCCAGCCCACCCCATTTGCATGACCCCAACGCCATGTCCATCCTGGTCCATCCTTCCGTTTGCCACTGTCGTACTGCCTCAGGTCCCCGAAGGCCTGTGTCTTCCTGTGTCTCCTAACCCACTCTGTATTGGTGTTGCCTTCCCTGTCCATTCCTCCTTGTGTCTTTCTCTTATGTCCCCCCATTCCCATGCTTCTCCCATGCTCCTTCCTCCTGCTTTCCCTCCCCCTCCTCACCTGCTGCTTCCCCTCACAGAGACCTTGGCCAGTGCCAAGGAGGAGAATGTGGAGATTCACCAGACCCTGGACCAGACTCTGCTGGAACTCAACAACCTGTGAGGGCTGACTCTGCCCCCAGCAAGGGTATAGTTGCTGCCCTAATTCAATAAAGCTGATGTTACATCCCAGTGCCCTTTAAGCCTTTCTTTGGTTGACAGTAGAGTTGGAAGAACCCCCTTGTGCAATGGGACATTCAGTGAAAGCCATGGAGTGGGGACACAGCTCAATGGTGAGGCGTTTGAACAGGCTGTGTGAAGCAGAGGAGCCTGACAGAGCTGGGAAATATTCTGGCTCTTACTCCCTGCAAGGCAGAGGAGCTGCCATCTATAGCACTGTCCTACTCCAACAGGCAACTAGGCCAGACATTCCATTTTAAAGGCAAAACTGCAACAAGAGGCAGATTTTTCTCCAACAGGTAAAAAGCCCAACACTCAATGTGATTTTGAGCCTAGCAGCTGTATCCCATGCGCACGAACAAACACATATGCACCCGCACACACACAGAGCCATGGTAACAGTACCAGTCATACCTACCCCTCCCGGAAAACATCTGTGGTAGGCAGAATAATACCTATCCTCCAAAAACGTCCACTGATCCTGTGAGATGTAACCTTAGAAAGCACAAGGGACTTTGTGACTGTGCAAAGGATCTGTGATGAGATACATCCTAGGTTGTTGGCAGGACCAGTGAAACCACAAGGGTCCTCACAAGAAGGAGGCCAAAAGGTCGAAGGTGGTAGGAAATGTAAATGGAAGCAAGACTGCTGCGGTGAAGACGGGATCATGAGCAAGAAATGCAGGTAGCTTCTAGAATCTGAAAACAGCAAGGAAATGTTCTACCATGAGAAAGCCCAGAAGGAGCCAGCTCCAGTGACACAGGACTTTAGCACGTAAAATTCATTTTAGTCAGAACTTTGGGTACATTCACATTATCACTAAGAGGTGACTCAGACCTGCAATAGGGCTGTAACTGGAAACCTTCAGAACAAAGGGCTGGTTGGGGAGAGGGATGTCAGGAGATTTCCGGTTAAAATGTAACCATCCTGATCTGAGGAACAAAAGTGACTTACACATTTTTTATTAGAATTTTTTATTTTTAATTTTTTGTGGTGCTAGAGATTAAACCCAAGACCTTTGCACTGAACAATATCCCAGAATTTAAAAAAAAAAAATTTTTTTTTTTTGTAATTTTGAGACAGTGTCATGCTAAATTGCCTGGACTGGGCTCAAACTTTTAATCCCCTTGACTTGCTCAGCCTCCCAAGAGTGCTGGGATTACAGGCATATGCCACCACACCTAGCTTAGAAGTATTTACTTTTTTAAAATGTGGGAGTTGAGGTTTGGGGATGTAGCTCAGTGGGGCTGCACTTGACTGGTAAGTACAAGGTTCTTTGTTTGATCCCTGGTTCTGCCAAAAAAAATATTGGGAGTTGAGTCTAATCTTGCTCCCACTAAAAGATCTTATTGGAGTGGTTTAAGAGAACAAAAAAGAAAAACATTTTTTTGGAAGTTTAAAAGGAATTGTATAATGGGTAGGACAGGACAATGTTCCTGTGTCCCTTCAGGTTCCATTAGGTGGTTTCTCATCACTTTCGAGTTCTGAGTCTCTTAGGCTCCAGTCTCTGTCATCTCGGCTGGGCTGTAGCTAACGCCATTTTTGGTCCCACTTCTGTGTCTACACAATAAGGAATTCGAATGAGAAAACTGGCTTCTGTGATCTTATTTGCATGAAATCTGGAGTTCTAGACTTCACAAAGGGGAGTGGAGGTGGGGCTCTGCAGAGGGAGAAGGTCAGTACATTACCTGCGCTGCCTCCTCATCTGCACAAGGAAAGCAATGCTGATAGCAGCAAAGAGGAAGCCAAAAACTAGAGCCAAGATGTCCCCTGGGAGGGAAAGACAAGGGCCTGCTTCAGGTCCCACAGGTCCCTCCAAGCCTGCTTCAGTGGATGCCCCAACCCCGCTCTGAGTTCCCAGCAGCCCCCAGGGCTTCAATTTCCAGAAGAGGACATATCCAAGGTCTGAGGGTGGAGAAGGACTAAGACAAGCACCATTTCTCTTCCCAACAGCTAGGTAAAGGGTTGTTTGGGGGAGGGAGTGGTTTGATTTCTGGAGCTTCATTCTGATCTACTGTCATATTGAGGTGGGAGTCTGTTCTATAGAAAAGTGGTCCTGACTAGTCCCCGGGGCTGAATGATGCCAAGGGGTGTACACAAGCATCAGGAACAAGAGGGACAGACTCACCAGTAGCTAAGCAGGAGCTCATGTGGACTGAAGAGAAAAAGAAGACATTAGAGGGCCAGGGATTTTGCTCAGTGGTGATGCCACCTGCCTTGCAAACACAAGCACCTGAGTTTACTCCCCAGTACCCTCCCCCTAAAAAAGAAGAAGACATTAGAGCTAAGGACTGTGAACACCAGTGAAAGACTGGCAAAAAATGAAGATGTGAGGAGGAGAGGCCTGTGGCAGGTGGCGGGGTGGGGTGGGGGAGACACACAGACACACACAGCAATATGGACGCCAGATATAGATGCACCTGGCTCAGGGCTGCTGTGCACTTCAGCAGGGAAGGAAGCTTCAATCATTCTTCCATTCAAAGGCTGTGTGGCTCGGAAATTCAGCTGTAGACGAGAATCACCAGGTCCCCACAGGGAGCCAGAGAGGGTATGGAGCTAGGGACATCAACAGATAGTACACGTGAGCTCAGGGCATACAAGGAAACAAAAGCCACAGCTAGCATCTCAGGGCTCCACCCTCCATCTCCTCCATCCCTTCCTTGGACCCTCGATGATCTCTCCATCTCATCCTATGTCCACTACCCCTTATACCCGCCAGCCTTACCTGCCTAGCACTCAACCTCACTGTCTGGTTGAACACAGTCCAGATGACCCCCTGGGAACAGGGGGGTGTGGTCAGAGACCCCTCATATTGGAAGTAGCGGCTGAGGTCAGAGGGCAGCAGTGCAGACACATCCAGTCCTGGGATCCAAATCTCTGAGCCTGTGGGAAGGACCTGTGATTCCACCTAGACAGCTTCCTATGGGAGCTCTACGGTGTGGAGATTCAGTTTTTACCTCCCAGAAGCTGACTTAACTGCCAGAGAGCACACACCACAATGTGTGTGTGGTCCCTTCCCCTAACTCTGCAGAAGATGCAACTCAAAAGGAAGTATGTTGGACAATTGGTGGAGGCCTCACAGAGTGAGAAAAGTGCTCTTTAAGTCCTCCCTCTGAGCTTTCACTCTTATTTACACACCATCATAACATGCTGGACCATTAATTTAAGCCCATAATTAGTTAAAAAGAAAAAATGGGGTTGGGGTGCATAGTTCAATGGTAGAATACTTGCCTAGCAAGCTTAAGGTTCTAGGTTTGATCTCAGCATGCGATGGGGGAAGAAAAATTGGTTGAATAACTTGCAAATAAACTTAATATTTGTAACTATAAAAAGACACAAAAATTCCAAAGACAGAGTTACCCTCAGTTTAGCAAAAACCTAAAGGACCAAAAGAGTAAGGTTTAAAATGACCAAGAGTGCTGGGCATGGTGGCATACACCTGTAATCTTAGCACCTAGGAGGCTGAGGCAGGAGGATCACTGTGAACTGGAGACCAGCTTGAGCTACATAGTGAGTTCAATGCCAGCCTGGACTACAAATTGAGTCCCTGTCTCA